AAAAAAAAGTGCCTCCTCATCATCCCCACAGGCTTCACCATCATGACTGCTATTTTTGGAGTGCCAAAAGATTACGAATTTTTTGGTTACAATTGAGAAGAAAATTCAACTCAATGTGTTTTAATAAAAAAGGGAAGTTATCCCCTCGTGTAACTAAAAACCCATGACTGCAGTCACAGCTGGATCAAGAGGCTCCAACGATGTCATTGGGACTTAGACTCTCTTCATCTTGCCACTCTCCCTCCCTTGCGGTGGGCCTCACCTCCGGGCAGCCTGCCTCCCACAGTAGCCCTGCAGAACTGCAACTTTTGCTTCTCCCAGCTTCACATCCACAAGTGAGAGGATCTCCTAACCCACCAGTCCCAATCAAAACCCTGAGACCACCTCTCATCAGCTTAAGGTGGATGAAGTGCTTGTTCCTGAGCCCAGCCTCACGCCATTCACTCCACTCCAGCCCCTCTGGCCTCTGGCTCTGGGAATGTGCCTCACTCCCTCCAGCCTCTGGGCTTTGACCACACAGGTCACTCTGCCTGGGCTCTTTGCCTGGGTAACCAGTGTTCCAGCAAGTCTGTGCCAGTCGGGATCCACTCAAGAGACAGAGCACACTGGTTCTTTTTTGTTGTTGTTTTCGTTTTTGAAACAGGGTCTCACTCTGTCACCCAGGATGGAGTGCAGTGGTGCAACAATGATTAAACCTCCCATGCTCATGTGAGGTGGGAGGCCACCTCAGCCTCCCAAGTAGCTGTGACTACAGGTGCGTGCCACCATACCCAGCTTTTTCTTTCTTTCTTTTTTCTTTCCTTTCCTTACTTTTCTTTTCTTTTTGTAGAGACAGGGTCTCACTATGTTGCCCAGGCTGGTCTCAAACTCCCGGGCTCAAGAGATCCCCCCACTTCAGCATCCCAAAGTGCTGGGACTACAGGAATGAGCCATCACACCCAGCTAGACTGGTTCTTTTGCCAGATAAAACATAACATAAAGAACTGTTAAGCAGGTATTGGAAACCAAAAAGATGAAATGGAGACACTAAGGTATTGCAGCTTAATAATGACACAGAGCAGGCCCCCTTCCGACAGCTGGAAGAACAAGAGGAGCAGGACAAATGATAAAAATGTTGAAGCTGGGAGGAGAAGGGGCCCTGTGGAGCTGGTCCCCAGACCCTGAGGAGGGCTGGCCAGAGGGAAAGTGAGGCTCCCCCACCCCTGTTCACTCCCCTCTCGTAGCACCCAGCCCTTTCCTTCATAAACACCCACCATGGGGTAACAAAGTGATGACATGTACTGTCAGCTGAGGTCTCCCCACCAGCCCCCTGAAAGCAGTGGGATGCCTGTGGTCACTCCTGTCCACCCCAGTGCCCAGCACATACTAAGTGCTCCTCAAACCATTGCTGATGGCATCATATGTCAGGGTAGTGCACAGGATGTTCCTGCCCTGGCTGGACTAAGACCCTGTCAGGTTATCTAAACCCTCCTTCATCCTGCATGGGGGCTGGGGCTCAATTGAGACAGTCTAGGCCCTGGGAGCAGGACGGAAGATGACAGTCACTTTTAGAATTGGACCTATGCAGCGTCATCCCCTGTGAAGCAGAACTGTCCTCAACTCTGCACCTGGGCCCCTCACGGGCCTCGCCCCAGTCAGGCCCTTCCTTAGGCACTGCCTGGCACCTAGCAGGTTGAATGAATGAATGAGACCTTACCCCCTGTTTTCCAGGGGTACCAGGTACTTGGAGTCATGGATTCTCTAGGTCATCTTTCGACTGAGAGGTACTATGCTACCTTTTAAATTTTACACCCCCACCCCCGCACAATGGTAACTTTCATATGCTTTTTACAATTAAAATTTGTTTTTAAGTTTTGAGCACATGGAAAGAGTGAGTAGAATTTTGAGGACTAGAGGCTGGGAAGGGTAAGAGGGAGGAGAGGATGGGGAGAATTTGGTGAATGGGCACAAAATTTCAGCCAGATAGGAGGAAGGCACTCTGGTGTTCTGTAGCACTGTAGGGTAAATATGGTTAACTACAGATTATTGTAGATTTTCAAAAAGCTGGAAGAGTTTGAATGTTCACAACACAAAAAAATGACAAACGTTTGAAGTGATGGATATGCTAACTACTCTGATTTAATCATTACTCTTTTTTTTTTTTTTCCTGAAATACAGTCTCTCTGTTGCCCAGCCTTCAGCTCACTGCAACCTCCACCTCCCAGGTTCAAGCAGTTCTCCTGCCTCAGCCTTCCAAGGAGCTGGGATTACAGGCATGTGCCACTACACCAAGTTAATTTTTGTATTTTTAGTAGAGACAGAGTTTCACCATGTTGGCCAGGCTGGTTTCAAACTCCTGGCCTCAAGTGATCCTCCCACCTTGGCCTCCCAAAGTGCTGGGATCACAGGCATGAGCCACCACGTTCAGCCTGATCAGTACATAGTTTATATGTGTCTCAAAATATTATTCCATAGTCCATAAATATGTACAAATTGAGGAAAATCCAAAGGGTAAAAATTTTTTTATGGAAAAAAATCTCCCCCCTGAAAGTAATAATCTGTATGATACAGTGGATGCTTTGGAACCAGACTGGGTTCAAAGAGAAGCGATTCTATTTCCTGGCTGTGTGAGCTTGAACAAGTCACTTTACCTCTCTGAGGTGTAGTCTCCTCATCTGTAAAATACAACTAAAGCAACATCAAAGCCCCAGCACCATGCCTGGCACACAGCAGGTACCTAACACAAGTTTGTTCATTTTGTCTCACTGTCAGTGAGCTCTAATCACAGATCAGACCTGGAGGACTCACTTCCCTGAGAGTGAGCCAATGTCCCAGCGTGGGGCTCGGCCTGGATGTCGGGCAGCAGGTGGATCAAAACAAAGGCCAAGAGCCCTGGTCCCTGGGGGAAGGGGCTGCCTTAGGGGAACGTCTCTTGCTCCATGGGGCACAAAGTGTACATGGATTAGAACTCTATTCAAGCTTGGCTGGGCGCAGTGGCTCACGCCTGTAATCCCAGCACATAGGGAGGCTGATGGGGGTGGATCATGAGGTCAGGAGATCGAGACCATCATGGCTAACATGTGAAACCCTGACTCTACTAAAAATACAAAAAATTAGCCAGGTGTGGTGGCATGCACCTGTAGTCCCAGCTACTCAGGAGGCTGAGGCAGGAGAATCACTTGAACCCAAGAGGCGGAGGTTGCAGTGAGCTAAGATCACGCCACTTAACTCCAACCTGGATGACAGAGTGAGACTCCATCTCAAAAAAGACTCTATCTCAAAAAAAAAAAAACAAAAACAAAAAAAACTGTATTCAAACTTGCTTAAGCAAACCGGGAGATTCACTGTCTCACTTCTGTGGGAATTCCAGACAGGACTCTGACTGGAAGGCAAGGTGGATCCAGGCACTCAAGAGAAACTTCAATGGGTTGGTCTCATTCTTTTCAAGCCCCGTGTGCCAGGGATGCTGACCACAGTTGTGGCCCCTGCCACAACTTCCCCATCTGCCGTCCCAGCCCCCAGCCTGGCATGAGTTCTCGAAACAGGTATCAAAACCTCATCAGGGCACTAGCTAGTGACAGCTGGAATGATTTTACCCTTCAGGCAGGGCTTCCGGATTTAGGAAATAAAACTGCAGTCTTTGGACATAATTATACAAAGACATTGTATGTTTATCTGAAATTCAACACCCACAGTGGGAAGAGGAAGCTTTTGGTTTTTTTGTTTGTTTGTTTCTGTTTTTTGAGACAGAGTCTGGCTCTGTTGCCCAGGCTGAACTGCAGTGACGCGATCTCAGCTCACTGCACCCTCCGCCTTCCAGGCTCAACTGATTCTCCTGCCTCAGCCTCCTGACTAACTGGTCTACCACCACGCCCAGGTGATTTTTGTATTTTTAGTAGAGACGGGGTTTCGCCATCTTGGCCAGGTTGGTCTCGAACGCGACCTCAAGTGATCCACCTGCCTCAGCCTCCGAAAGTGCTGGGATTACAGGTACGTGCCATTGTGCCTGACCCCACACACTGTCCTGAGCACTTATCAATTCATTTCATTTCATTCTTTTAACAACCCTACGAAGTAGGCACCATTTTCCCATTTTATGGATTAAGAACTGGAGGCACGGGGTGTTTAAATACCTTGTTCAAGGTCACAGTTGGTGAGAGACAGAGCCAGGATTCAACCCTAGGCCGTCTGGCTCCAAGTCCACATGCTTAACCACCACACCACGTTGCCACTCCCCACCCCACAGAAGCAAGAGGAGGTCCTTTCAGGGGCAGCTAAAGGAGAAGTGATCTCAGCCCTTCCCCGGAGGGGTACGGGGGAGCAGCTGGACCTCAGGTGGCCCAGCCTCAGCACAAAGCCTATCTTCAGTGCCCTCTGTCTGGAAAATACTGGGGCTCCCAGAGAATGTACCAGAAATAGAGGCCACTTCCTAGGCTCCAATGGAGGGAAAAAAGCCCTGGCCTGAAGACTCAGATACTGACCAACTCTACCACTGCCACAAGCAGACGTGTTGGCTATGTGACTGTGGACCCATCACTGTCCCTTTCTGGCCTATTTCTTCCTCTTGCACATAAGCAGATTGAGGGTTAATCCCCAGATCCTGAGTGCCCGGGGTTCTCTCTGGGGAAAAGCTAGGGGTGAACTAATACCCCAGCCTGTGGTGGACTACCAACTGCTCTGGCCTCAACAGCCCCAGGTGTTGGAAGAACAAGACTCCCCCTTGTACCCCCCCCACCCAGACACGGAGTACCAGCGGCTCCTGGGCCCTAGCAGAAGGCCCAACATTGGCCCCAGCTTCCTCCTGCACAGCACTCTCTAGTTTACACTCAGTCCTCCCCCTGCCAGGCTGGGGCGAGTTCTGCCCCTGCCACAACTTCCCCATCTGCCATCTTAGCCCCCAGCCTGGTGTGAGTTCTTAAAACAGGCATCAAAAACTCACAAGGGCACTGGCTAGTGCCAGCTGGAGTGATTTTGCCCGGCAGGTAGGGTTTCCAGATTTAGGAAATAAAAATGCAGTTTCCGGACATAATTATACAAAAACAGTACGTGTTTATCTGAAATTCAAATTTAACCAGGCAACCTATATGTTATTAGGCAGCCCTGCACTTGGGGGACATTGCTGGTATCTGGAGACAGTTTTTGATGATCCCAGCTCAGGAGTGCTACTGGCATCAGGGAGGTCGACGCAAGGGATGCTGCTCAGCACCCTGCAGTGCACAGGACAGTCCCCACCACAGTGGCACGTATGCTGAGGGTGTGAAACCTCCACCCGATGGCCTTCCCAACCATGGCACACATGCTCACCTGCCATCTAGGGAACTTGTCAGAGGAAATCGTGGTGATCCTTACATGAAAGTCAGGGAAACTGAGGCACAGGTGAACTGTCTTATTCAAGGTCACAGTGGAATCTTTCCTTCTCTAATAAACTCGTTAGTTCTTCTAAACATAGAGTCATGCAAGCCCAGCCAGGAAACACAGGTGGGGAGAGGGGTTAGATAGAGCCTTTCAGAGTCCTCAGGCCCCTGGGACTGGGATCCTTTGGGGCTGGGTAAGGCAGCCCCAGAAAGGGAGAGGAACCACACTGACCCGACAGTTGTCACTACCAAGCTGTTATCAATTGTGCCACCAGGAGGCAGTAGAGACTGGGAAATAATTCAGCAGGCCTTGCCCTCCCCAGAGATGCAAGGAACTCATCAGTCCTGGCACCGCCCCCTCCTGTCCCCCATCACCTGCCCCCCCTCCTTCCCCGCCTCCCCTGGCCCAGAGTCTGATGCAGCTGCTCTAGAACCGATGCCAGGCATCTGCTTTTTTTTTAAACTGCTCTGAGGTGATTCTGTGTTGCAGAGAGGATTGTGAAATGCTGGTTTTAGGCCTTGGTTTTCTACTTTTCATTTTCTTAAGACAGAGTCTCACTGTGTCATCCAGGCTGGAGTACGATGGCACAATCTCAGCTCACTGCAACCTCTGCTCCCCAGTTCAAGCAATTCTCCTGCCTCAGCCTCTTGATTAGCTGGAATTACAGGTGCCTGCCACCACGACTGGCTAATTTTTTTGTATTTTTAGTAGAAATGGGGTTTCACCATGCTGGCCAGGCTGGTCTCAAACTCTTGACCTTAAGTGATCTACCCACTTTGGCCTCACAAAGTGCTGGGATTACAGGTGTGAGCCACCGCACCCATCCCGGCCTTGGCTTTCATCCCTGATTGTACAGCAGAATTATCTGCAAACTTTAAAAACCCGCTACAGTGGTTTTGTAAAGTTTATCCATGGGTGATAAACAAATGTCATATACACAGACAACAGAATATGAGTCAAGTGAAAGAAAGAGAACTCTAACACATGGCCAGGTGCAGTGGCTCACACCTGGATCCCCAGCACTTTGGGAGGTCAAGGTGGGCAGATCACGCGGTCAGGAGTTCGAGACCAGCTTAACCAACATGATGAAGCCCCATCTCTAGTAAAAATACAAAAATTTGCCAGGCTTCGTGGCGTGCACCTGTAATCCCAGCCACTCGGGAGGCTGAAGCAGGAGACTCACTTGAACCTGGGAGGCAGAGGTTGCAATGAGCTGAGATCACGCCACTACACTCCAGCCTAGCCAACAGAGCAAGACGGCATCTCAAAAACAAACTCTGACACAAGCTACAATATGGACGAACCTTGAAGATATTGTGCTAACTGAAGTAAACCAGACACAGAAGGACGAACACTGTAGTTTCTGCCAATAGGAGGCTCCTAGAGTAACGAGATTCACGGAGTAGGAATCAGGACACTGGTTGCCAGGGGCTGGGGGAGGAGGCGGAAATGGGGAATTTGTGTTTTTACAGGCACAGAGTTTCCCTTTAGGAAGATGAAAATGTTCCGAAGAGGATGGTTGCACGGCAGTGTGAATGTACTTAATGTCACTGAATGGGACACTCGAAAATTGTTAAAATGGGCCAGGCACAGTGGTTCACGCCTGTGACCTCAGCACTTTGGGAGGCCTGAGGGGTGTAGATCGCCTGATCTTAGGAGTTCCAGGCCAGTGTGGGGAACATGGTGAAACCTCATCTCTACGAAATACACAAAAAATTAGCTGGGTATGGTAGCTTGCACCTGTGGTTGGGAGGCTGAAGTGGGAGGATCGCTTAAGCCTGGGAGGCAAAGGTTACAGTGAGCTGCGCTTGGGCCACTGCACTCCAACCTGGGTGACAGAGTAAGACCCCATCTTGAAAATAAGTAAATAAATAAAATGGTAAATTTTATCTCATATTTCTATTACAATAAAAAAAAATACTGCCAGGTGCAGTGGCTCACGCCTGTAATCCCAGTACTTTGGAAAGCCAAGGTGGGCAGATCATGAGGTCAGGAGTTTGAGACCAGCCTGGCCAACAGGTGAAACCCTGTCTCTACTAAAAATGCAAAAATCAGCCGGGCGTGGTGGTGCATGCCTGTAATCCCAGCTACTCAGGAGGCTAAGGCAGGACGATCGTTTGAACCCAGATGGCAGTGGTTGCAGTGATCCGAGATTGTACCACTGCACTCCAGCCTGGGCGACAGAGTGAAACTCCATATAGACTCCCACTATATCTGTATAGTGGAAAATATATGCTGGGTTTCACAATTAAAGGCTTAAGATCATTCCACAAAACAAAAGCACAAAGGCCTATGTCCAAGTCTTTCCCTACACTAATAAAAGTGTCTGGGGCTTGAGTCCCAAAAACTGCCATTTTCTTAGTGTCCCAGAAGAATTTAACGTGCAGTCACGGTTGAGAATCCCTGCTTTAAGATCATCCCACAGTCTCCGCACCCTGGAAGAATTATTGCTGCTCTAGCCATTTATCTTTTGTGGTGGTATTAAAATATGCCCATAGGTTCTTTTATACTCTTCCTTCAAGAGGTAGAAATTGATCAAGCATGTTGCCTCATGGCTGTAATCCCAACACTTTAGGAGGTTGAGGCAGAGGGATCCCTTCAGCTTAAGAGTTCAAGACGTCTCTTGCTGTCTACTAAAAATACCAACAACTTAGCTGGGTGTGGTGTGTGCTCCTGTAGCCCCAGCTTCTTGGGAGGCTGAGGCAGGAGGATCGCTTAAACCCAGGATGGCAAGGCTGCAGTGAGCTATGAATGTGCCACCGCACTTCAGCCTGGGCAACAAAGTGAGACCCTGTCTTAAAAAAATAAGAAGAGGGCCGGGCGCGGTGGCTCACGCCTGTAATCCCAGCACTTTGGGAGGCCGAGGCGGGTGGATCACGAGGTCAAGAGATCGAGACCATCCTGGTCAACATGGTGAAACCCCATCTCTACTAAAAATTCAAAAAATTAGCTGGGCATGGTGGCGCGTGCCTGTAGTCCCAGCTGCTCAGGAGGCTGAGGCAGGAGAATTGCCTGAACCCGGGAGGCGGAGGTTGCGGTGAGCCAAGATCGCGCCATTGCACTCCAGCCTGGGTCACAAGAGCGAAACTCCGTCTCAAAAAAAAAAAAAAGAAGAGGTGGAAATTACTTCCTTTCCCCTTGAGTGTGGGCTGAAGTTTGTGACTTGCTTCTAACAGGAAAAACAAAAAAAGCAAAAAGCAGAAGTGATGGTGTAAGACCAAGAGACAAGGTCATCAGGGGCACTTTGACTTCCATCATGGTCTTTCTCTTTCTCTTGAATCATTGACCTTGAATAAAGCCAGCTGCCATGTCCTGAGGGCACTCGCGTAGCCTAGGGAGAGGCCAGTGCAATGAGAAATGAAGGCCTCCTGTCAAAAGCTGTGCAAGGGATCCAGCACGTAAGTAGATCCTCCAGCCCCGGGCAAGCAGTCAATGAAACTGCAGTCCCAGCCACTATCCTGCCTGACTGCAGCCACGGGGGAGGCCCTGAGCCAGAACTGCCTATCTAGGCACTCCTAAATTCCTGACCCACAGACATGGTGAGATAATAAATGTTTTCTGTTTTAAGTCACAAATTTTGAAGTGATTTGTTACACAGCAGTCAACAACTAATATACATCCATCCATGAGTCAATCAGTCATCCACACATCCATCTATACACTCACCCCTTCATCCACCCTTCCACTCACCCACCAATCTATTCTTTCATCATCCATCTGTCTATCCACTGATCCAGCTACCCATCCATCCAATCATTCACTCATTCACTTACCCATCCAACCATCCACCCATCATCAACTACTCGGCATAGAACACAGGACCTAGCTCACAGGAGATTGGTGTTAATATTTCTCAAATGAAGGAATCAAACATTGTGCAAATGTCTGCTCTCCATTTCTTGCCAAGACAGGCCAAGGGAGGCTCGAATGTGGCCCCTATGAGATGGAGCCAGTGTCTGGTTCTGCCAGAGCAGCTCTGGCCTCTGGATGCTATCGGCCACCTCCTGGGCCCATTTGGCATCATTCCCTTCTGCTGAGAACCACCCACCCTTCTCTCACCCACCCACATACAAGCTGCTTGGGCCTGCCTGGTAGGAAAAACCTGGCTCTGTCCCTCCGTCTCCCGCACCGCACACACACCCACTGGGGCTGGTCATCCAGGAAGGCTGGGAACAGCAAAGCTTCTTGCCTCCCAAAGAGAGTTTGTGGCAAGAAAATTTGGGTTCTTTGAGGTTCAAGAAGCTGGGCCAAGTGGGACAGTCACAGGGAGGTTTTGGCAAAAGCCTGGCTGCCTGTTCCCAGACAATGTCATCCAGGCCTGCCCCACCCATCCCAAATACCCACTTTCAGTCTATTCCGTTCTCATACCTCGGGGTTCCCCTTACATGCTCGGGCCTCAGTTTTCTCATCTATAAAATGAGAACGATGACAATATTTTGGAGATGAGATGACACGTGCACAGGAGAACCCTCAGCAAGAGGCCCGGTGAGCAGCGGAGCTACTGTGAATGGAACAGAGTGGACGGACCGTGAGGCCAGTGACACCCAGAGGCCGGCGGGCAGCTGCTGACCCGGCCCTCCTCTCCCCTCACCTGCACCGCTCTGCCCGGGCTGCCTCCCTCCTCCTGCTCCTCACACTCCATGCCCACTCCCACCTCTGGGCCTCTGCCCTGGCTGTTCCCTCTGCCTGGAACACGCTCTCCCCAAATACCCACTCAGCTCCTTTCTCCCTTCCCTCAGGTTTTTGCTAAAATGTCACCTTTTCAGTGAGCGTCACCTAGATACCCCTTATCCCTCTCACTGGTCCCCTTTTTGAATTAATCTTTCTCTACTGCATTTATCCTTCTAAGGTACTACGACTTTTTAATCTTTTTTTTTTTTTGGATGGAGTCTCACTCTGTCACCCAAGCTGGAGTGCGGTGGCATCACTTCGGCTCACTGTAAACTCTGCCTCCCGGGTTCAGCGATTCTCATGCCTTAGCCACCCAAGTAACTGGGTGCCACCACGCCTTGCTAGCTTTTGTATCTTTAGTAGAGATGGGGTCTCACCATGTTGGCCAGGCTGGTCTCCAACTCCTGACCTCAAGTGATCCACCGTCCTCGGCTTCCCACAGTGCTGGGATTACAGACGTGAGCCCCGCCCTTGGCCCAGTTAAATATTAAAAGCTGAAAGAGTTACTGGCCATCTACAAAGGCTGAAATGTCACAAAAACCCACCAAGAGTTTTGCCTAGGCCTTTCCTGGGCCT